ACGACGAGATACAAAAACTATAACATTAATCTTCATGGTATACTCGTTGTACAGAAAATGGCTATCGTGACCCCAATCTGGGATTTGAAGTGGTCGGTGCTCAGTTCGACTCTTATCAGAACAACATCACTGACTGCGAGGCAGATATATCTAGCTGGTGAGTCCTAAACAGAACAAAACCCACGTCCTGTATTCCACTGATAGTCATTATACGTAGCGATAGAACCCAATCAATTCAGGTGATAACTAACTAATAAAGTTGGTCCCGAATATGGGAAATGGCTTCCTGATGTTTATGCCATCTTATTCTTGCTAACGACCACATCTAATCAACATTAGTGGTCTAGAGTGACTCATTTCAGTTACGGTCAACAGAAATGAGAACAACTCAACTCTAAACTAATTGATCAGTTGATGATATCTAGGCGAAGGGGATGACATTGAATTTTGAAATTCTAGTGAATCTTCTTAAAGAATTACTGCTGAAATATATGATGAATAAAATAGCCTTCCTGAGTGTCCCTCATTCAAGAAGACTAGACTGACTGCTAAAAAGGACCGCTTCACATGAAAGTACAACCCTCCTAGACAAGCATTATAATGACATAGAAGAAGCTATGACGATTTATACAATGAACCCTTAATGTGCAAAAATAGCAACCGGTGTTATCTGTACACCCAGTTGATTTACGGTAGCTGAAAGACCAAGTACATACGCTGGTTAATTTTTGTTATATCTATCACTTCAGCTGATCCAGTGGAACAGGTTATGTTGACCGACGTTCTAGGAATTTAATTTTTAGTTCTCGTTCCTGTGTAGCATCGAACTGTTCAACCATCTGAGAGCACCTAATAGCTGTTTCTTCCTAGTACGCGACTCTTCAGCAATATGCACCCATGATCCCGCCTCACCAGGATCCAACTCAGGACAATAACCATTCAGTCACTGGGTTGGATGCCAACGGTCCATAGTTTCCCACTTCTCTCTATTCACGATGTAGTGAGAGTATATAGCGCGGTTCTTCAATTGATTTCAGTCCACAATGAACGCTTAGATCCTCATAAACTTTAAACTGCATAACTTGCAATCCTGTTCTGTCTTCTGAAATCAACTCACCTAGATGTTTTGTCACTAGCTTGATTCTCAGCAACAGTTATCTATCCGTACTCTCCCCTACTCCCCTCTCTCTCTCTCTCCCTCTCTCAATAGACCCACTCTATATTTAACATTTTAATAATTGGGAAATATATTTACCCAATAGGTTTTATTACCTAATTAAGAGGAAATACCGTAGTATGAAAAACAGTCACGCTCCCCTCCCACCCCCACCCACTTGGCAGTGAAAAGCTGATGAAAATGTATGTTATTCGTCACTAAGCAAGTACTGTCCAACTTCCCGAGGTTAGCTAGTTCACTAGTTACTAGCCCATCCTAAGACCGGATAAAGAGGGAAGGTTGGGCATACCGCTAGCAACCCTAACCCGTAAAACCAACCCAACCTCTACAGAAACTTCAAAGCACAAACAAAATATAAAAAATAAAAACAAAATTATTCCTCTCTGGAATCGGAGAGGCGAAATGACGCCGGTTGGTGAAAGCCTACCTTCGGGAAGCCAATTGGCCAATCTGTCACCTCTCTCTCTCGACGAAAGCAAAAGTAAGAATGGGAAGATGGAATATCCGCACCATGTATGAACCTACTAAGGCTACCCAGATTGCAAAAGAGATGAGGAGGTATGGGATGGAAGTGGTCGGAATCTGAGAAGAATCTACAGATGGAATGGGAGTGGACTCTCCAAACTGTCAACTGGAGATGAGTCAATAATCTACTCCGATATTGTCATCCAGACAACAACCACGAGCACACTGAGTTTTGGAGTGGCTATCATGATGTCCCCAACAGCATCGAAGGCTCTCATATAGTGAGAACCAGTCTCCTCCACGACCAGGATCATGACACCAAGATTCAAGTCAAGAGGAAGGAAAGTCACAATCATGCAATTATACGCTACTCTATGCACCCACAAATAATGCAGATGAAGAGAAGGAAGAATTCTACTGACAACTGCAATCAGCACTGGACAACACCCCACTCCAGAAGGCAACATCAAAATTCTAATGGGTGGGGTGACATGAATGCCGAACTAGGAGCGGACAACACATGAAGAGAATTCATCATGGGTCGAGAAGAACTAGGCGAAATGAACGAGAATGAAGAATTGTTTGCAGAATTCTGTGCATTCAACTATTCAGTGTTTGGAGGCACTGTGTACAAACACAAGGATATTCACGCAGCGACACGGATTTGATTTCACCAGACACCAAGAAACACTAAAAGTCACATCGACTTCTTCTCAATGTGAGGCAAGTGGAGAAGCAGCCTACTGGACACAAGATGAAGAAGGGGAGCAGATGCAGGTTCACACCACTCACTATCTAGTGCAAGGAACCCTCCTTCCAAATGACGTTGAAAACCTTCATAGGAGTTGGTGATAGACCACAGTTCAAGTTAAACACCCAGAACAGAAACTGAACTGAATGACGAAACTACAGTGGACATCTTCACGTCAGTCAGCCATCAGAACAGAATGGGATGGATGTATTGAGCAACATCCCTGAAGGATCGGGTGTGGAAGAACACTGGAACTCTTTGGAAGCTATGTGAGAAGAAACCTGCATAACCGTATTAGGAAGGAAGAGGAAACAGGACAAGGAATGGATCTCGACGGACACATGAAAGCTGATAGAGGGGAGAGAGGAAGATGGTGATGGTGATGGTGATGATGATGGTGATGGTGATGGTGAAGCAGAAGATGAACCAGTGCAGTGCAGTGCAGTGCAGTGCAGGGATGAACAACGAGAAGAGGAACCCAACACAACCTGCAAAACACTACATTGGACAAAGAAGTGAAGAAGAGTGCACGCAAAGACAAAAGACACTTCCACGACACTCTGGCAAGTGAAGCACAACAGGCTACTGGTAGGAGAGACAGATAGACACCTGACAACATTACATCAAATAACCAGGTTACTGCTACCTGGGAGAGAAGAGATCAACACAGATGGAATCAATGAAAGATGATGAAGGAAAGCTAGTTAACACCAAAGAGGAAAAACAAAGGAAAGGATGGATTGACCACTTCAAAAAACTCTTTAATCGACCACCACCACCACCACCTCCTGCAACTCGTCTGAAAATATCACCATCAGCCCAGACACAGAACTACAAGTGAAGACAAATCCTCCAACAAAAGTGGAAGTCCCGAACGCCATAAGTTACAACATCCGGATTTTCAACACTAATTCAGTCAAGTCAAGTCAAGTCAAGTAAGTCAGTGCTCAGTGATGGTTGAGGGACTTGGCGGCGCGTTATGAAAATCATTTCCAACAAATTACAGACATAGATGAACAGCTGTCATCTACTCTCACTCAATACTGAAGATCAGATAGATGATGAGAATAATGAGGATAAGATACAAGGAATTCTGAGTGGTAACGAACCAACCGACCAAGAACCTATTGGACATTAGTGTGGGAAGACCGTTTGTGGCCATCATGTATCAGGCCAGGTCAGGCCAGGTCAGGCCAGGTCAAGCCAGTCCTTCGAGTGGGAGCCAAATTGGAAACGACGAGTTGGGTGTCCGAGGTGAAGGTGACATGGGGAGATGATGTGAGGAAGAAATGAAAGCTTGTGGGTAGTGGTAGAGGCAAGTTGATAAGAGTGTAGAGAAGATGGTGAAATGGCGACGTGCTATTGAAGCCCTATGTTCCAGTAGGAACGCAAGGGACAAATAATAAATGGATATACTCTGCATATTCATCTCTTTCATGAGTGTCAAGTTAATGAAGAGTTGAAAATAGAATTTGTTGCTGAACTCCAACGGTTGAATCGCTCTTTTCTTTATTTCCACACTTCAGTTTATGTTATTTCTACCTGTCACCTTATGAAGACGGTTAAATAGAAAACAGTTTATGAGAATTCCAAGAAATCCTCTCATATATGGTATCGTATCCATTAATATTGTTCGAATCCCTAAGGCAGGTCTAAAATCCTCGAAATAATTCATAACCAATCAACACATTTCCAATTTTCGATAAAAGACATGTGAACAATACTGTTTTCACCCACTCATCAACTTTGTGCACCAGTCAATGAGCCTGGAGATATCAGACTAGTTTAGAAGAAAAAATCGATAGCGAGTGTTAATCTAGGACGGCTCAGAAATAACCAAGATCATATACGCCATTGTCTTTTGAACATATTTTGACATTGCAATATGTTTTCTCTTGTCTTACCCAACTTTCTAATGTTCTAGCAACCAGGCGACAATTAAAGTTGAATTCTATAGTGATATATCATTGTTCACCGAATGACGTTCCGAGTAATATTTTATGCTGAAAAGGTCATGATGTAAATAATACTCTGTCACTGTGTACTGTTTCAAATAAACGAATTTAATGTGGGGTTATAATCTACCACATTACCCTAATTTTGCTCTTACTTTAGTGAATTTATAAGGTCATTGCTTATGCTCATCCCAGCCTACATCAGCATCTATATCACGTTATATTACTGTGATACTGGAAGATTTTCTATGTTTATATTATTAAAAGGAAAAGGGGGAAATCATAATTGATTGGATTCAATAACTAAATCCTGAAAGAATTCTGCAACACAAACAATATGTAATAATTTTTCATACCTTCTATAGCGGGAAATAATTTAGGACGATACACAGTGTTTTGTTTTGCAGCTTGGACTAGTTGAAGGAAAAATATTTTCATCTGAGTGGCCGATCTCTACACCATTCTATTCCAAACTTTCTTCTATCGGCCAAAAACTATTTACAATCTAAACAAGGATATGTGAAGGGGGATCAATTACAATAGATAACATTAAGCAAACAATCAAACACCTGATTGGTTAATAAAATATATATTATTGACCAATAGGATTCAAGACCGTTAAATGGCGTATTTTTGCGTAGTTTAAATTTAGAAATACTTCGATTAAGACACTTGTGATTTAAAATTGGGTAGGTAAATGCATATATAACTATCATTATTATTATTTCGTTCTTTGCATTGAAAACTGGTTAAACTTTCACTGTTATTAAGGTAAGTAAAAGTAAGCAAACTAAAGATATATTACAATGAATAGGTAGTAGCTTATCTAAGGGTTTATATACTCATCTCATATTCGACGCATTAATCACTAAGTAACCAAGAAAAGTACCTTGGAAGACTAATTGTAGGCGTATGTTGCAGTCATGTAGTTGGAAGAGACTTGGTTGAAGTCAACTAACCAGTAAAATGAAAATACAATGAATAAGTAGTCAATCTGTGCAACGCTAGCAACCAATATTGCTTGAACCGCTTAAGTATGTTTATTATTAGTTATTAGTTGGTAAGGGCACACCATTTTGACGTCAGTGTAATGGCATAGTGATAGAGGTTGAAAAAATTCGGTGGACGAGGATTGCCCACTGTCTAAGCGACTGACCTACGAGTCCGTGATCTTCTTCGAATTTCAGTGATTACATAGCACTCTAGATTATCTGTTAATTGCTATCAACTGTTCTTGATGTTTCACTCACCATATATTCCATTCTTTCCCTTTTTATAGTTGTATCTACTGTAGAATAAGTTCAAATTGAGTAATATTCTTTCCACCTTACCATTTAAACAACAAAACTACCAAATGTGGATACAAAGTTATCACCATAACACTCAAGAAGATAAACAAAGAGCTATTGAACAATTTCACTGTGCTCGATCTCATCAGTATACTGATTCTATCTATCCGAATGTTTTGAAAGAGAACAATCCTCAGATAAAAGCAATTTACTATTGTAATAATAATAATGATAATAATAACCCTTGTGATGTTTCACTTTCAAGGTCTTTTATACGTACCCCATACTCCCCATGTAATAATAATAATTTAATGAATACATCCGAATTCACACCGTCAACGATGATCTCATCTGTTATTCCTGACTGTTGTATTTCTATTCCTACAAGGATGATGACTAATGACCAATCTTCACTTTCGATTATTCCAATCAGAAATGAATCACACCTCTATGTTAATAATACAGACAGTAATGATGGCATTCAACAACGAAACAACAAAGGAGATGATTATAATCCACTTTTGCATAGTTATCAATATCATGACCTTGTACAAGGTCATTCTATTCAGTGGGATATATTAATGAATAATTCATCAGTATTGCTGGATAATATAACTTCAGCTACCGCCAACACTGAAATTATCAATAAGAGTAGTCATCAGAACAATGATCATTTCTATGAACTATCAGATCAACAATACACTGATAGTAAATCAATAAATAGTTATCACTTTAATCAACATGATACACTGATAGAGAAAATTAACTCAAGTAAGTTTTACAGTTGATCTATGCAAGTATATTGAAAATTGAAATGAAGCTTTTGGACTTAGACTTTAAAAGTTTTCTGTGTTCACATTGTGATGGTGAACCTTCATGCCTGATGGTCACATTGCAAAATGATCGATAGAATTCAATAAGCACGTGGGAGGGAGAACATGGAATTTGTTACCCTCTAATGACTGACCAATGTATCCAACTCATCCTACAGGAAGTCAGTTGCGTTTGAATAGTTGAGTGGTAACGCCCCTGACTACAACACTGAGTGACGTAGTTGGAATCTTAGACGGGACATCAGTTCCGTCGGGGCTGCAGGCACTCCTTACTGACGAGTGCTAACAAACACGAAACTTAAGTCAGGGGCTTCCTGCCGATGGCCTTCATCTTACTAATACAATAATTCATTAACTTGTTTACGAAAACTGTAATATACCAATGTATGCATTCTTATTTAAAATTCATGTATATCTGAGCCTTGAGTAGTAATCTTGAAGATGCTTTTAAGTCTGAAGGTAAAACGCCAGGTATCTGATTGTATTACTCGATTCTTGTTACTATGCTAAGTGGAAAAGTGTGCAATATAAGATCTGAAGGTTCTAGACTCGATGCTTTGTAGGGTCATAGGTACGTACTGCTGAGGAGTCTCAAACCCAGATGAAATGACTCTTCGGTGTTCGAAGGTTTTCAATGGCTCCCCAAACGGTTTTAGTCAACAATGAAGAGTAGGAAGTAAACTGTAAAACTGTAGATAACCTACAAATAAACACTCTGGGACTTTGAATTACTTTGCAGTCTCATTCATTCTCTAGTCTATTCAGCAATATCTGGTCAGTAATCGGAAGAAGAAGCATGTCTATCATGTAGGAGTTGTATTACTAACTATATCCCTAGCAGGTTCAATTTGTACGGTTAATTCAATGGGTCAGGGTTCTGTTGTGAATTACTAAGATGTTTCTTGTGTTTTGAAGCAATCGGTATGAATCTTTGTACCTAAGTTCTCGGCTTGTTGGCATTCATCAGGTCTGCAGTGCAACAGGTCAGTCTCAAGTAACGTTGGTTCGGATCTTTGAGAGGTTGTAAATACGCCTTACTGACGACAGTTAATAAACACAAAACCTAACTTTGACAGAGTTTCCTGACGATCGCCTCCAACTAACTAACATCCCGATGAAAAGTCTCTTAGAATTTGATCAGCACTCAGAATTAGACGATATGAAATCGTTTATTCTTCAGCTATCAGACACTTAGACAGACAACCAATTTAAATTTTAGGTATTATTGTCAACTAGTAATCAGTAGGTGAAATTTCTGAAGCATACGTCTCTCAGTCGAGATCCTCTTCAGTTCATACAACTTCATATCATCCATTCACTTTTCGATTAACACTGTTCTTATCCGGCTGTCGACAACCTGCCTTTAAGGTCAGCTCGTGGTACAACTTGAAAACTGTTGTACTGGATCATATCTTTATTGATAGATGTGCCGTATCAGTACATGTACTTCAGTGTTTCGTATGATGTAAGGTTTTTCGGCGTTGAGAATATGAACCCCAGAGCTTCATGTCAACTGACTCCTAATACTAAATAAATGACATCACAGTGTTGAATCACTTACTTCAGACTACAGAATTCCACTGAATCAATTCGTTACTATGACTAAATAAATAATTGACATTTAGATTGTAGTTGTGATAAGTAAATTTTTCTCTTTTGAAGGTTCTGTTAGGCTGTTTGTAAAAACTTGCATACTTTAATCGAGTTCATAGTGAGAGTTGATCTAAACCCTGACAAGTTATCTGTATTTCTTTAAATTATGACAATACTTATCCTTCTTAATCGATATTTCATCTACGAACTCAAGATTGAGGCATGTAAAGTATCTGACACTGTAAGCCGTTGATTAGAATCCCCGAAATGAAATGAAACCGATCATTTCAACCCAATCAACAAGCAATCACACCCAAAGTATGCCTTGTGCTACGCAAGAAGTGGCTATCATGATCCAATGGCCTTATGGATAACACTCCGGGCTTTGGGGTGATCGTTCCAGGGTTCGAGTCTTAGGGGGAAGAACATTACTCGCTAGGAGACAGGTACATCTAGCTGATGGATCCTAGATAGGATGAAATGCGTATCTTGGATTACACTGCTAGCCGCTATCCACCATTACTATCAGGATAACGTCTCATTCTTCTCCAGTTGTTGTTTTTCCCTTTGAATCACTGAAATTCTGGAAATATGATCATCACATTGTTCTATGTAAGCTGAAATTTCACATATTTATTAGCCTGAACCCTTTTGTGAAAAAAGAATATTCAACTGTCAAGCTAGACATAATACGAATGTTCGAGAACTCCTGATGAGCTCCAGAATGGGACGAAATCATATACCATTTTCTTCAATCTTCAATAGCTTATTCGACTAAAATAAATAGACAATAGTCAATAGACTTTCATTAAAATTTGATAAGAAGACAGTGTGATATTGGTAAGTTTTTCTGTTTTCATTTGAGAAAAAATAATCTAAGAGTACAACTTCATTACCAGTTACTATAAAGATATAGGTGAACATTATCATGTAAACATGAGCATTTACATGTACACATACTATTGTAAACGAAAGTATATCAGCACCGAAAACAAACTCTATATCACCTGCCAACTAGTAGGACACTGAAATTAGGTCTTCAAGAATACTTTGTTTATACTAATGAATTTGTTCTTAGGGTCTGTGTTCTGTGCTTGTGTTTGCATGTTTATCTATATTCAAAACAACGTTAAAATACAAATATTCACTTTTTTTTTTGGTATGTCTACTATCGCATTTGTTGATCTTGATGTAAGTTGAGAAATTTTTTTAAAATAGACTCATTTAGTCGTTTATTTTTTCTGGAAACAAAAAAAATATTCGGATCCTGTCGACCTATTCTCTATAAAAGTGAGAGTAAGGAAATTTTTCTAATTTCTTACATGATCGACGTACTTATTTATAAACATTGACACAAATTTATGTGATGTATTGTCTTTTCGTATATGCTTCCAGTGTAAATAAGCTGTGTCAGATATTCACATACAACAGACATACAAGCCTACATAAACACACATACATACATACACTTGATGAATATTTGTATGTTTAAGGCATAAATATTTATGTAAACTCTTATCATCATTTAATCCAATCTTCAACTAAGTGGTCATTCGGCAGGACTGCTTACTTAATAATGACAATAATAATAATAATAGTAGTAATAATAATATAGCCCAGCTATGATACATCTGACTGAATTATCGATTTTTTTTAAATTTTAAAAGTTATCGAATGAAAGCCAATTAGCCAATCAAAAATTAGTATGTACCTATCAAGTTATCTATGCGCCTATACATCCTTCCAGCTTATATGCATAATTTGACCTATCAATATTCATATACCATACATAATATCATGTCATATGATAAGGTCAAAAATTTAAATCAGTCTAGGCATTTAAGTAGAGTATAGCAACTAATCGGATGAGATTTAATGAAGAATTTATACATGACTAAGTGATTTTAAATCATAGTGTATACAGGATAGTTAATAATTTTTTTTTTAAATGTGTGTAGTTAAGGTAGTCAATATACTTAAGCGAGAGAGAGAGAGAGATAATGAAATGCAACTAACTTCTTCAATTATAAATAATAAACTTGTACATTAGACTGGTTACCGTGTGGTAAAACAAACAACGTTGTTAGCCTTTTGGATGTATGAAAGCGTATAGCTGTTATTTTTGATTTACGAGTTATACATTAACACTACAGTGAACTACTCAATTCAATTAATATTATTAAGAAAAATGAGGAAAATTTTGCTGAATAGATTAAATCCTGTGACTGTTTAGTCTAAGAGTACATACATCTAATTATCGTGATAGATATCTGAATCCAAAGATGTTTTTTTGGATTTTTTTAAAGTATACCAACTAAAGAATATAGTGTTTGGTTTGGATTGCATATACTACCAGGTCACTACAAAGAAACCTACTTTAACGAATATGTAACCAATTTAGCTTGTTGGTCACATTACAGACTCGAACCAACGGATTCGGTAATCAATCCAGTGTTCTGCCAACTACAGATGTCTCAGATACTCTCATTAACAATCAACATGATGCTCTCTCTGTCTAACTCAGCTGAATTTGGATTGGCATGAGTAGGTCTAAGTGGTTAGTCAATATGATTACGATGAACGGATAGATATTGTTCCATAGATTCGTAGATCAATCCAGCGGAAACTCTTAATGATTGAAGTTAAGTTAATGGCTTAGTCTTGCAGCTTAGTTTGTAGAGCACCTAGTCGGTAATTTAGAGTTCACTGGTTAGAATCCTACCTTGACTCATCTCACCTTCAATCATCACCTAGGATTATCAATAACCATCAGTGTATCTACAATAAATGAAAATAACGAAATTGTATTATCTAATGTAAACTCTCACTGATGATTAATATTCGTCTAAATCTTCGAATACCTTTCTAAACAAAAATCAATAATTGTAAACATTAAGCAATGGTTGCTCTATATCTAGTGAAAACAATTAACTCATTGTAAAAGAATCATTGAATATTAGCAAGGAAGAAGAAAGAAGATAATGAATGGATCTCGACGGATACATGGAAGCTGATAGAGCAGGGAGAGGAGGATGATGAAGCAGAAGATAAACCAGTGCAAAGATGAACGACGAGAAGAGCAACTGAGTACAACGTATAAAACATTGGACAAAGAAGTGAAGAAGAGTGCACGCAAAACAAAAGACACTTCCACGACACACTGGCAAGTGAAGCACAACAGGCTACTGGTAGGAGAGACAGATAGACACCTAACAACATTACATCAAATAACCAGGTTACTGCTACCTGGGAGAGAAGAGATCAACACAGATGAAATCAATAAAAGATGATGAAGGAAAGCTAGTTAACACCAAAGAGGAAAAACAAAGGAAAGGATGGGTTGAC